GATGACAAAATACTTTAAATGAAAATTTTAATAATGGGAAGAAATTTAATAAAGGAAAATTGTATGAATTGGCTTATTTTTCTATTTACAATAAACAATTTCCTAATATGACTATAACTTTTAATAACTTTCTTTATTTGTATACACGTCAAGATAAAATTAAAAGATCTATTTATCCTTTTTTTCTTTCTTCATATTATATTTTTTTATAATTTTTTCTTATTAAAAATAATTATAATTTGATAGATATTATAAAATTATTATATCGTTAATATACAATATTATAGATATAATTTATTATAATATATAATTATTAGAAATTCTAGAAATCTATTGTCACATCTAAGAAGATAGAAATCAATAAAAAATTCTACATGCATTCGTGTTATATGAAAAAAAAGTATAAATTACCTAGACGCCTTGGAAGACGAGACGGGAGCCGTCTCTGGCGGTTCTTCTTTTACTCTTGGCCTGGCTGACTGACGTGTCGTACTAATGGAAAATATGCATACTTTGTTATGACTTATATTGTTACCAGGCTTAGCACGTTGCTTTAGTTAAAACAAACTACATTATATAAAAAAATTTAATTTGTTTTTATCAAAATATAATTCATTAATGATTTTTTTTTTTAAAATTTAAGCAAAATTTATATGAAATTTATATGAAATTATGAACTTACTCTGTAACTTAATGCTTATGTAAAGGATAAAATTTTTTTCTTTAATATTTTTCTATTGAAAATATAAATTAGATTAAAAGATACGATAATATGCTATTCTAAGTATTACTAATTATAGTTACCAAATACATGTAAGTGCATGTATAATATTCAAACATATTCAAAAAAATTTGAAGATTCGTCGTTAAACCTGCAACCATATCGGAATATTTAAATATCAATTCAAAAGCGACTAAATTTGATAGAATATAATTTTCATTAAAGAATATATATTTATTTTGCTTCATCAATTCCATATTTGCATGGTTTCAGGATTACGACCATTTTATAGATGTATAATTTTACATTTTACAAATATCTTCTTGATATTGAAATTGATATTACAAATTTTTTTTGGATAAATATACAGATCTTGTATTAATATGCATATTATATGAATTGAAGAAGCATTTAAAAGTACATTTTAAATTAAATATTTATACATTATAATAGGATATAAAATAATTATCAGTGAAAATTAATTATTTAACTTATGAATTATTAATCTAATAGATCGTAATATTAATAATTATGATATTTTTAATTTTTTTATTATTATCAATTCCAAGAATCTAAAAATTAAATTTCTATCCAAAAAATGATTAAAATATTTAAAAATATATAAAATTTTAATATTCAAAATTTAAAATTAAAAATAGATATAATTCATAAATTAAATAATTACAAATATTTCATTTGAAATGTTTCTATGAAACATAATGAAATATGTTTTGAATAGAAAGCAATATCTACAATATATGCATATTTTTTTTTTACATACTTTTTCTAGCGATAATTTTAGAAATAAAAATTACAAATATACAATAAAAATAAAAGAGAAATATCGTATGTAACTATACCACTTGCTTTAAGGAAAAAAATTAAAATTCGTTTATATTTAACATTTTTCAATTATATATATTTAAAAAATTATTATGCAACTTCAATCTTTAATTTTTTATTGACGAAAATTAATGTGATTTAAACGATTTTATAAATTTATGCATTAAATAATATTTTATAAAAAGTATACTTGCATACATATTTCTATTATGTTGTGATAAAAATAATTATCAAGATATTGATACCGAGTAAACCAATATTATAATATCAGAGCTTATTTCTTCCTTTGAATTTAAAATATTGAAATTAAAATTTAGATGTTAAAATATTTTGAAATATATTGAAATATATTTTGAAATAATCCATTTGTAACCAAACCTTATCACGATAAAACTTATATATCGTATATACTCAATTGGAACGGTATTATAAATTGCGCATGCGTATATCTTTTTTAGAAAATAGATTTAATATAAATAAATATACTTATTTTTCTCTTATATAAATGCACGTGGATTTATGATTACGACATAATTTTTTTGTTTGTTTGGCGCTTTTTAAATCAAACTTTATAAAAATTATAATAAGTCATATATATATAAGTATTAGAGAGAGTAAATATTTAGAAAAGCCACAATTTGGCCATCATCTATTGTATTTAACAAACATACAGAAATTAATTTTAATCTATAAATTCATAATCATTGAAATTACGAACCATCATTCATTTTTTATTATTGGTCATCTAATTCTGAAATTTCAGTATTATAGTAAATATTTCAAAAATAATAAATGAATGAATCAATTTACAATAAAATTTGATTAATTCAGTATGATCATCAATCATTCCAAATGCATGATTTTACAATATTTATTATTATAAATATACCTAAAACATCATATTTTTTAAAAATTGAAATCACAATATTTTTAATTTCTGAATACTATAAAAAGAAAGATTTATGTTGATTTTTAAAATAATTAATGAAAATCAGTAATAATTATTGATTGTAACTAATTTATCAATAATTGATATATAGTATTCAGTATAAAAAAAATTATTAAAAATGACTATTATTTTAAAATGAATATAAAAATATCTATTCCATATTATTCTCTACTGTTTTATTTTATAGTGACTAATACATAATAAATGTTTTCCTATGTTAACCAATATTCACTGAGTAATTTTTAAATTTTATAAATGTACAATTAATATTCTATCTAATAATTGAATAATTGCATTTAATTATTAATTTCTTATATGCTATATTTTTTTAATTATTTTCATTTTTATATTATAATATTAAAACTAATTTCAATAAAATGAATTATTATGATTATAAAAATTTTTATGTAATATGTATGTATTTAATTTTTTTTATGTTATAAAAAGTTAAAAAACCAAATTAATTCTTAAATTTATATTTCAAAAAAAAAAAAAAAAAAAAAAAAAAAAAAAAAAAAAACAAAATATATTGATACTTAAAATTAAATCTTATTTTATATGTTCTTAAAATTGAAAATTGTAAAAATAATATATTATATATTTTTATAAAAAATTGATTTATTAATATGTAAATATGATTATATTCTCATTATTATATTGCTACACAGAAAATTAAAGTTAACATAGGAATTATAATAACCCTTTAAAATAAAATATTTATAATTTGCCTATCACTTTTACATGTTGAAATTATATATTGAATAACTATGCAGAACATAAAATATTTGATTTTTTTATAAATAATATCTACTTTTTATATTGTAAAAAGTATTATATTGTATCAATATAATAATTATTCTAATTCATATTTTTATTTTTTAATTGAGATTTTATTTTTTATATAAAATAAATAAAAAGTAGACATTATCAAACAATCTGATACTTACAATAGTAAAAACATATTTATTTATTTGATACGTTAATTGTTATTTTTTATATTTTATAAATATTTAAAATTTTAATTAATATATTCTTTAACATAATTAACATTTTTATTTATTATAACAATTTATAAAATATAAATTAAACATTTTAAATTTTTATTTAAATATTAATTTCAAACAGAATTTAAATAGCAGAACAAAAAATTGATATCTTTTTGAAATAATTATTAAAAATTGTTAAAAATATATAAATAATATAAAAATATTATTTAAATATACTTATTCTGTGTCTAATAACAATTAACATAACAAATGTTCATTTTAATTAATCCTGTTGCTATTGATTATAGAAAAAATTATTTCTATTTTAAATTAAAATTAACATTTTTTCATTATCAATCATTAATTCAATCTAAATTATTTCATATAATAATTAATAAAAATTCTCTAAATAATTATAATAGTCTAGAGTTATAAAAAATACATTACAGCAAAAGGATTAATGTCATTTTATATTATTTTAATAAAATTTAGTAAGATTAGTAAAATTTTATACATATACTATATTGTAAATTATAAATCTTATAAATAAAACTATTACATAGATCATATAAAAATGATCTACAGTTCTTGTCTGCATGAATTTTTTTAAAATAATTAATTAATACAGACAATGTAAAAACATGAGAAAATATTACAAATAATAGTTATTATTTAATAATAATTTGTTCCACTAAATATTTCAATTTCTAAGTAGATATATATTATTCTTAACTATTTTACAAATGAACACACTATAAATCATTTGTTTTCTTTTAAAACTTATTATTGATATTATACATAGAATATATTGTATTTATTATTTAATTTAGCTACATCTTTATCAAACTTAGCACGATTATCACTTTAAATAAGTATTCAAATATTTTGAATGAATTCTGCAATATTTTTTATAGCATGATTCGAAATATTTAAAAAATATATAATACAATCTATGGAACTTATCTTATTTACGATAATATTCTTGATATAATGATATATCTATTTATGAAGAAAAAATTTCTTGTATCTAAATAATTTTTAAGATACATAATGTACTTTAGTATATGCGGCTCGTTACAATATAAATGTCGTATATTTTATATAAACTTATTGTATTTGTTTCTTTTTTCTAAATCACACACATACGTGACTATTATTTTTGATCCAATTAAAATAAAATGATACATTCAGTGTGACATTAAAATAATTATGTAAAATTTTAAGCTTACCTTTCTTCTCTGCTTCGTTCTCTATATTCGCGATCTCTTTCACGTTCACGATCTCTCTCTCTGCTTCGTGATCTCTCCCGTGGATATGGTTCACTGTAATAACGTTCTCTGTCACGATCACGATCTCTTTCTCTTTCACGATCACGTTCTCTATCACGTTCTCTATCTCTATCCCTGCTTCTTTCTCTGTATTCTCTATCACGGCTCCTTGATCTCTCACGTCTTCTTCTATGACTGCGTTCTCTATCACGTGAACGTGATCGTTCTGAAATAATTAATTAAATATTTATATATAAGTAAAAAATAATTAATTAAATATTAATTCATAAGTAAAACATTATTAAATCTTTAAGTAATAAAGCAAAATTTATTATGTTTATTTATCTTTTATATTAATATTAAAACACAAAAATTTTATATTGACTCAAATTTTAATTAAAATTTTAATAATGATAATGAAAAAAAAGAAAATAAAAATAAAATCAATAGAGTGAAAGTATTGAAAAAAGGAATTATATTATTATTTAATTTGATATGATATAATATATGTTTGATATAATTTGATATATATTTGATAATGTATAAATAAAATAGAAAAAAACTATATAAAATATTAATTATGTAAAAAAAAAATTTTTAAAAATATAAAAAACAAACTTTTATATGATGCTTAAATAAAAAATAATTGATATAAAAATTATGAAATTAATTTAAGAAATTTACCCCTACGTGCGGATCCATAGCTCTTAGTCTCGACGCCACGTAAAGTATCTTGAAGAGAACTTATCAATATTTTACATCTATCATCTGCAGCAACTTTGGATTGTTTTATTAAAGAAATAGCCGTAACTAAAGTCTCTATAGCGCTTGCGTATTCTCCTGCCGCAGCATCAGATACTGCTCGAGCAATTGCAGAAGAAGAAACAGTTCTATTTCTACCCATAATTTCTTCAAACTCTTGTTCTGTGAGAGGAGGAGGACCTTCTGGACGATGATCAGGTCCTGGTGCGCCATAAGGTGGCTATGAAATATACGTTTTCTTTTAATAAATATTTATCTTTATTAAGTATAAAAATAAAATGTATTCTAAAAAAGATAAATATGTGTATATGTAATATTTTTAAATCAGACATTTTTTTTTTATTATTACTCTTCCTTACTTTTTTTTATTATTTCTCTATTATTATTATTCTTCCTTATTTATTTAAAAAAATTTTATATTTTAATAATTTAAATTAGTAAAAATAGAATAATTTTTTATAGATTTTGTTTGTTTCTATTCTAGAATTGATTTTAAGTTAAGTTAGTTAAGATTTTAATTAAACATAATTATTCTTAAAAAACATTATGTTTATTTTACTATTAAAATATTTTTATTAAAATGCAAAATATATCTTATCAAAATGTTAAAACAATCTAATTCCAAATGAGATTCTAATCTAATTCTAATCTAAAAGAATTTTGGACATTATTAATTCATTTAAATTCTATTATTCAAAATATATAATTTTTTATAAAGGTTATACATAATTATATTTATTAAAGATGGTCAAAGATGTTAAAAAAAATTAAAGAGTTTTGAACAATCATCATTTATCAGCAAATATAATTAATAATCATTTAATAAAAAGTTTAAAATATAATATAAAATATTTATAATATATTAATATGAAAACAAAATAAAATACAATATACCTGTGCTGCGGGTGGTCCATAACCATGAGGAGGCACATGGGGTGGACCATGTGGTTGACCATGAGGTGGACCATGTGGTGGACCATGAGGTGGACCATGTGGTGGACCATGAGGTGGTCCATGAGGTGGACCAGGAGGACCTGGTGGATGTTGTCCTGGATGCTGATGAGGTGGTCCTTGTGGGAAAAATGCTGGATTCACATGTGGTGCAGGTCCTCCTGGTGGTCCTTGTGGTGGTCCTTGAGGTGGACCTCCATGACCAGGTGGTGGTCCTCCTGGACCTGGTAACATTCCTGATCAATATCTATGTTAGCTTGCAACAATATATATAGCAAGCTTATAAAAATTTTGGATTAGGCAAAATAATTATAATTGAATTGATAAATTGTTTCTTGCTTTAGGATATGTTTGCACAA